GCAGTGACACCACCATAGCTCACTGCAGCCTCCAACTCCTGGGCTCAAGAGATCCTCCTGCCTCAGCCTCCCGAGTAGGTGGGACTATAGGTGTGCACTACCATATCTGGCTAATTTTTGAAATTTTTTATAGAGACAGGGTCTCACTACGTTGCTCAGGGTGGTCTTAATCTCCTGGACCTCAAGTGATCCTCCCGCTTCAGACTCCCAAAGTGCTGGAATTACAAGCATGAACCACCGCACCCAGCAAAACTTTTTTTTTTAAAAGCACTGAAGGGTATAAAGAAAGAGTAACTGTCCCCTGTCCTCCTAAGTCCTCTCTTCCTGTCCTCTACAAGTTACAAACAGTTAATTTCTCAGGTCATTCACTTGATATTTTTCCTAAGCATGGACAGTATGTTCATCATACATTTATGTAAACATGCTGAGTGTGGGTTTTATTTAATACATCTTGAACCATTTATTAACCTCATTGTCTCTAATGATCGCATACTATTCTACTGTCCTCATCTCCCACACTAACATTCAGCGTGCTCCTGGTTTTTACTGTTAGAAAACAATGCAAAGAACATTTTTGCATACTTCTGCATTCTTGTGCAGGAATATCTATTTAAACCATCTGTTTAAAGAAAAATTTGTTTTACACATTTCTTAGTATCATTACTATCAAGTGAAAAAACATCACAACTTAGAGCTGACATCGGCTAATTTAGAGAATGAACTTCAAGCACTTGCTGCAAGAGTCCAGCTTCCCACAAGTCAAGTTCAGATTCCGTGAGTGACTCACTCTTTTTCCCAGGCCTGGGCCCTCTGGAGCTTCTCTGTATCATTATAGTAATTACTGACAGGGAAGGTAATCACAAGGGCAGTAGCGTTATTGTAGTTTTGATCTAGAAAGGAAAAATGTGACATCAAAAAGCTGATCACAAGCATGCAGAAATTAGATATATACAAGGGGAAAATCACAAAACAGGTAGCAGACTGATTTCTCACTGCAGCTAAAGACTATCCCTGTGCTCTAAGAATAAAACAGCAGCTTACAGAAAGTCTGTATGCAGTTTAGTTCATGAATAAAAATAATTCTTTATCTGAAGTAGGCACAGTTATCATTCAGGAAGAATAATTTTTTTTGTTAACTGCAGAGTATGTGCATGGCAAAAATTTCAAACAGAGCAGAAAGGTGTTCAGTGAACATTGTTTTTCCCCATTGCCATTCTCTTAGTTCTCCCCATACTGTGACCATCTGCAACTCTTTCTAGAGATACTTACCGCATACACGCAAGCAAACACATATATTCTTTCCCTTTCCTTCTTAATTACACAAACAGTAATATACTGTTCTGTACTTTACATTTAAAAATTCTGCATCTTGAAGATTGTTCCATTTCACTTTTCTGGTTTTTGTTTTTAAAGAGATAGGGTCTTGCTGTTGTCCCAGCTGGAGTGGTACAGTGGCATCATCATAGCTTATGGCTGCCTCAAACTCCTGGGCTCAAGTGGTCTTCCTGCCTCAGCCTCCCAAGTAGCTGAGACTACAGGTGTGCACCACTGTGCCCAGCAAATTTTTTTTCTCATTTGTTTTAGAGACAAGGTCTTGCTGTGTTGCTCAGGCTGATCTCAAGCTTCTGGCCTAAAGAGATCCTCCTGCCTCAGCCTCCTGAGTAGCTGGTACTACCGGCATGTGCCACTGCATCTGGCCTACTGCTCTACTGTAATACATAAAGAGCTTCTTATTCTTATTCTTTTTCTACTAATATTTTCTAGTACAATTTAGCCAATCCCTAACTGATGAACATTTTTGCAAATTTTTTTGCTACTACAAATAAAATTACTACAAAGAATAACCTATACATATTTTAAATGTGTAAAATTCATATTTGTAGAATCAGTTCTTAAAGTGTAATCACTAAATCAAAAACAATGAACTCTTCTAATTTTGATAAATTCTCCCAAACTGCCTTCCAAAGAGGCTGTACTAGTTTTCATTCTTTTATTCAACAAAATGTTTACTCAGACCTACTTTGTGCCAGCCATCATTTTAGGTACTGTGGACGTATCAGTGAACAAAAGAGAGAAAAATCCCTGCCTTCCTGGAGCTTACATTCTAGTAACCAATTTACATAACCACCACCACCAACAGAGAATTTCCTATATTTTCACCAACGAAGGGTTTTATCAAACTCTTAGGCCTCTGCCCATTTGTTAGGTAAAGAGATTGAAGTGAGACGCACTTCCCCCACACAATTAATTTTAGTATATGTGCTGCCAAAGTGAGCACACACCCCCAATACAATTAAAAGCCATTTGTATTTCTTCTTAACTTTCATATGGCTTCACCCACTTTTCTTTTGGGTTGTTGATCTTTTCTTTTTTCACAAGAACTCTTTATATATTAAAGGAAATGCTGCTATGTATACTAATATACTTTTGTCCAGTTTGTTTTTTTTAAACTGTATGCTATTTGTTCTCCACGCATGAATTTAAGATTTTTATGGAGTCAAATTCATCAGTCTTTCCTTTTGTGGCTTCTGAGTTTTGTATCTTGCTTAGAAATGCCTTCTCCGTTTAAAAATTATTTTTAAAAAATTCCTGCTGTATTTTCTTCCAGTTCTTCAACACTTTTACTTCTTACATTTCAATCTTTGATCCATATGGAACTTATTCTGGTGAGACGCATACTAGGTAGAGATCAAATTTAATTTCCCCCTATGGGGGGAAATGACATTTTATTTTATGAGGCATAGTAGATTTTAAATACAGATCACAACTTCTCCCCTGCCACTCAGTGTGGAGAAGAAAACCTACCTGGCGTCTTCAATGGCTAGAGAAAAACATGTTGAGCCTGTAAGATTAGGTTTCAGACGCCAAAAGTGTCACATGAATCATCACCCCATTTTCTCAAGTACAATGTTCCAAAGTGCTACAGGAACCAAAAGCAAAGAGCCAACCAACTGCTCTTCACACTATCAAAGTGTCCAAATTCTTAACTGATTGGTTCAGAAGAAAAAAAAAAACCCATCAACTTTGTTTCTTTTTCCACACACTTCACTTATTATCTCTTCCCCATTACAAGAGTTCTTAACCTGAGGTCCATGAACTAAGAGGTTCACAAACGAGCTTCACGGCCTCCAGGACCTCCCTGAAACTGAATGACAACATCGATGTACACAACTGCATTACTCTGGGGAACTGTTCTTTGCCTTGACAGCTTCTCAAAGGCATGTGGGACCTAAAAATGGTTAACACAATCCACTTCTTTTAAATCTGGAATAAAACCCAAACCCAATGCCAAAGGATTTATTATATTTGGGATTCAAGAGATGGGGAATTAATAAGATGGCCCAATTTATGAAATCTTCATAATTACTACTTGATGCTAATGACAGAACCAAGATGACTTTCTTTACCTAACAGGAAAAGTCAAGGCTTCTCTTACTTACCATCATAGCCGCCTAACACAAGCCACGGGAACACTGGTCCACCAAACGTACCCAGACAGGGATCGTGGAGCAAACTCGTATCATTCAGAGAGGCAGGGGCCCTGCCAAAAAATTCAGAAAACACCTCCCAATGAGAATAGCCTCAAGACATCACGGAGACTTAAACATTTATACAACAAACATTTGATGAGGCTGACTGTATTCTAAGCATAGTGTGGGCCCTGAGGTTCCTTAGTTGACTACGGTCCAGCACTCCTCTACGGGCTCAGAGAGGCAAACACAGCCCAGTCCAATCAACAGCATGGTGCACGGGGCTACGCAGGCACAGAGGGAGCCAATAATCCAAGGGGGAAGTCTGCCAAAAGGACGAGGCTTGTAGAGCACCAGAGCTCCAAGGACAAGGGAGAATTCACCAGGGAGGGAAGAAAAGAGGGAGTTCCATACAATTACAATTGCGGGAGGAGAGGAGGAGGGAGACAGAGAAGAGTGGGGGGGATGAGAGCAAGATGGTGGTTTGGGGAACAGTAACAAGTCCTGTCCTAGAGCATGGGGTGCCCACGAAGGGGGCTCCTGAGAGAGGGGGTGGGGCTGGAAAAGGCAAGCAACAGATAGTGCAAAAAAAAAAAAAAAAAAAGGATTCAGTGCCAGGCTAAGTATTTGAATTTTTATCCTGGAGGCACTGGGGAACCTCGGGAAAAATGAGAGATTTCTGGGAAAGGGATGCCATGATCTGTTTTATGAAGATAGCTTGTGTGGCAAAGTGAAAAGTGGAAGTGGGAAACAGCAAGGAGGGGACTAGTGAGGTTTGTGGCATGGCCCAGGCAAAAGAAGACGGGCAGTGCATTGCAGACAGACAGCTAGTGGAGAGGGGACCTGCACTTTAGCACGGATCAGCAGCCAGGGCTCGGCTGGTCGCTGGGAGGTTCTTGCATACAATCTGCCCGTCAGAGCGGATGACTGATGGCGTTAGGCCTGGAGGTCAGGTGACCTGCAGCCAGAAGCAGAGTCCCTTCATCCCACAGCATGGATGTGAGAGACCATCCAGAGGCTAAAATCCACAAGCACTACATGAGGAAGGCGGTGAGGACAGGAGGAATTCAGGGATAAAGCCTCAGGTCTGAGTAACTGGGAGCTGTCACTGCCATTAAACCACAGGGGGAAAGAAGCAGGTCTGGGCAGGCTGCCTCCACCCACGCAGGACCTTCAGGTGAAGAGTCCAGGAAGAGCTGGGGGCTGAGGGAAGAGGTGAGCACTGGAGGGTCTGGGGTCATAGAGGACGTGCATGAGTGCAGCCACACACCCACCCGAATCCTTGCCCCCAGGACAGCGTGCACAGCAGCGCTTCCGTGCTGGTTCAAACCACACCCCCTCCGGTATAACACAAGTCTCCCACACCTGCCCTCCTCAAATTTTTATTGACTTTTATTTTGTAAAAGAGAAAGTAAATTTTTTTCTCCAAATATAAAAATTATTTGATATTAAATGTTTTTTTCAAATTACCCCTGGCTCTCTTGTACCACCTACCCTGTTAAGAATGATGGTGTACAGTGCAGGGCACGAGCTTATTGTCCTATAACTCGTGTTTTTAGAGGCGATGTCCTTGAGATAGACTAAACATAGCCCAACTGCCTTAAGAGTCTTATTCCAATAATAGACAAAACTCAAGGTCACCAAAGTTCTTTAGAACCAGATATCAGAGTCCTCAGCTCTTGAGGCATGGTTAGTTGAGCAGTGCCCTCGAAGGAGACAAGGAATAATTCCTCTGTTCCCGGGGTGAAGAATCAGCCACTGTGGTTGTTCAACTGGCTAAACAACTGTTGCCAGGCCAGGTCCAGAGCACCCAGGGAAGGCAGGTTGTGACATTCTTCCTCTACCAGGATGAGCCTAAAGATTCCCTCCCTCGCTCTCTTGGTGACTAATCTCAATTATAGAAGCATCCTGCCCAGCGAGACATGCCGCCTAAGGCAAGTAGCTGCAGGGTCCTCGAATGTAAAACTTCACATAATCCTGTCCCAATCCCTTCAGTGGAGGCTGCAGTCCAATATCATGATATAAGGTTATATTTGAAAGACAAGAAAACGCACCATAGGCTTCTATCTGTAAGTCTGAGGGGCTGGAGTAGGGGTACGTGAAACTGTTATTGACCCAGGCGCAAGCGAAAGGTTGAGAGGGACCTGCTGTTCCTGGATTATACACCATAAAAGCTCCCACCCCAGGGCCTTTGCGCTGGCTGCTCGTTCTGCTTGGAACACTTGTGATATCCAGGAGCTCCCTCCTTCCTTTTCCTTTTGTGCAGATCTCCACGCTAGAGCAGTACACCCAACCCTTTGCCCGGCCTTATCTTTCTCCTCAGAGCATCATCTCCACCTACCACGACATCATGTATTTACGTGCACATCATCCACCTCCCTCCTTGGGATGTAAGCCCCATGGGGCAGGGTCCTGCTCTGTTTGCTCACTGCTGGGTCTCTAGCATCTTGAATAGTGTCTAGCAACAGTACGTGCTCAACTATTAATGGGACACATGAGTGACTACCTCTGGCCACTTACCGTACACAGTACAGAAAGTGTGTGTGGTAATCAGCATACACAAAGAAGTCGTCCCCTATTTTGTGGTCCAGCACAGAATGGCTATTCTGGAAGTAATTTAACACACTCATAATGGTGCAGTTCTTGTTATACGGTGAGAGAGGGGCTAAGCAAATGTCCTGAAGTGTCACAGTTTCATTGTTGTAAGAGGCAGTAATGTTTTCGATGGCTGTTTGTAAGTCAAGAACCTGAAAGAAGATTTCAAAAATAAGCAAACCCAGAAACAAGTGAGATTTCTCTCTCAGATCTTGACCAACCAGTATTGCCCTGAGGGGTCAGAAGATAAAGAGTATTTGGGGAAAATACTTCCTAAGATAGGGGAGAAGATTAAGGCACACTATGGTAAGACATCTGGTTTCACCAAAGGCCCACTTTTACAGCAAACTGGGATGAAGACCTTGGTTAGCGGCATCCAGAGAGATGGGGGCAAGACACCATGACCAGAAGGGATTGCAATGTAGGACACGCAACCATGTCCCCTCTCCAGCAGTGACCGAGAGCACTAGGGAGACTGGAGCAAGATGCGTGGTCTTCCCGACACGCCCCCATTACATATGTCCCCACGTTTCCTAGCAGTGGAGATGCTCCTGAGATAAATGACTATGCTGTTCATCTTCTGCAACAACCTGGGATAAAGCAACAGTCACTGGCTGCAGAAAAGATTCTATTAAAGTCTTGGGACCATTTTGGTGTTTTTCAAGCTTTCAGACTTTCTATAAACAAGAGCAAGGCTTAAAGGAAAAACTATGTGATTGTGTAATCATTCATTAAAAAAGAAGTGGACGCAGTTTATTCACAGGTACAGTTCTCCAAGGCAAGTGTGACAGGGACAACAGGAAGGTTTACGTGCCTTTTCTAAAAGGAATGGGGTGGATCTCATCCCAAATGCAGGCTGGGTGCCCGCATGCAAGCAGTGATAAGTTCGTTCCTGCAAGTTGGATCAGTGACAATCCAGCAGGTCCTTCCTCAGCTCCCAGGACAGCACAAAGGGCTTCATTCCTTTGGGTCCTCGCACATTACTTTCAGTTACCGTGGGAAAAAATTCAAATTCCCAAGGTGACTTCCTCATCAATACATTCTGCCTCAATAGGGAAGTGCTACTGAAGTCTTCCTCTGCTCATCTCCATTTCAAGAAAAAGGCAAGACCTACTGTCTGAAGTGAAGATAAAAGCAGGAAACAGTACATTTTTCATTAAGGTCAACACCTATCATTCACTTTCTTGAAAAGTAAGTTAAGAGCACCTTTGCTGTTACAATTCAAAGATTTTCAAGATATACCACTACGTTCAGCCCCAAATCCACATCAAATCAAGCAGAACTGGTCAACACATAGAAGCCAGCAAACCACCAGGTCCCCTGACTGACTTATTTCTGGGAAGAGCAGATTACCTGGTGCAAAATCTCTATGTCAAGCGGAGGTCCAAATGGCACGTCGGCTCCTGAGGGGTAGGGCTCGTAGGTATGCTTTTTGGTGAGGGGGGCCCGGATGATGAGCTGCTCTGTCCGGAAGAAAGGCCCAAAGTGCTGGTCAAAGTACTCTTTCTCCAGGCGAGCTTGGCTGGCTGGGGCTGACCAGAGGTCGACTGGATTGGTCGTGACCCGGACAAACACCAGGCCTGAAGAACACGCCGCGATGAAGACCAGAGAGCAGAAAATGACACAGCCGGGGTTCCGGATGCAGAAAGACCCCCACTGCATGAACAGCCGCCTCAAACAGCCCTCAAATGCTGCACCCACTGGGTCGCAGCAGGACGCCTCCCCTGGAGGGGCGGGAGAGGAAGGGAGGGTGAAGGTTAAGAGCCGTGACATTTCTGAAAGTTGGAACAGGGAGGGCATTAGCTGCTGTCGCACACAGGGGGACCTGAGCCCATCTGGGGACACGCACCAGAGCCCCAGCCCTTAGCCACCTGTCTGCTCATGAAGCCACCCGTCCCGGCTGCCACCCCACAGAGGAGGGATGCTTTCACACAAGCCCCTGCTGAACGAAGTCCTCCGACCACTCTGCCTACAGAGCTCTGCAGCCTCGTCCCACCACTGCTCCTTCCCTGCTCTTATCCCAGTCCAGAATTCTTTCACTATTCTCCTCATTACTTGGTTCTGATCTGTCACCCTCACTAGGTATCAGTGTCGCAAAGGCAAGGATGTCTGTATGGACCTCAGCCATGTCCTCAACACTAGCCCACCACCTCACACAGAACAGGCGCATGAACATTTGTTGAGGAAATGAACGCTCTCGTGCCAACATAATCTGAACCCTTCCATTTACATACAAATATGCCTACCTTTATCACTGGCATTCACAGAAAAAGCTATGTTGCTATCAATGGGAGTGTACTCGGAGACAAAATACCGTTTTCTGAAAAATAAAAGCATGTTAAGTAGTATTAGTGGGACTTCATTAAAATGTGGCTATTATTTTGACATTCCTATAATCCCATTAAAAGCTTACTCCCTCCTCTTCTGGCTTTCCTTCCTTCCTTCCTTTCTTTTCTTTTTTTTTTTGAGACAGGGACTTGCTCTGTTGCCCAGGCTGGAGTACACTGGTATGATCACAGCTCACTTCAGCCTCAAACCCCTGATCTCAGGTGATACTCCTGTCTTAGCCTTCTAAGTAGGGGGCCTATAGGTGTGCGCCACTACGCCCAGCTAATTTTAAAATTTTTTTGTAAAGACAAGGTCTCACTACGTTGCCCAGGCTGGTCTTGAACTCCTGGCTTTAAATGATCCTTTCACCTTGGCCTCCCAAAGTGCTGGGATTACAGGTGTGAGTAACAGCACCCAGTTGGCTCCAGTGTTCTGACATGCCCTCATCCCCCAGTCTTGTATTTTCCCTGGCCCCGCCCTGGAATCAACCCCTTCTACAAGAAGCCCTGGTTCCTTTTATTAGAGAATGGTATGTAGGACATCACTAGGTGTGGTCATTGCTACTGGGGAGGATAACTTGAGCCCAGGAGTTTGAGGTTGCAGTTAGCTATGATGACGCCACTGTACTCTAGCCCAGGCAACAGAGTGAGAGCCTGTCTCAAAAAACAACGACGACAACAACAAAACAAAACAAAAAACACAGGAGTCAACCAGAAAGCATTCCCACTGAGCAAAATAAATGACAGTACTGAATGCAGCCCACAGAACATATAAGAAGTCCATGATGCAAACAATCGATTAAATCAGTGAGGGAGAAGGGACAGCTCTCTGTGTAAAAGTCCAGTTAGTAAATGTAGAGGGAATGGGGAAATAAAATCACCATCAGGCAAACGTCACAGTAATAACTATTGCAGGTAAGACCCACTAATGAATAGATGCTAAAATCAGTGGGTGATAGTTTAAAGAGAAACAAAATATTAGCACAGTCTCAAAGTATCTCCCCCACAAGATATTTATCAATTACAAAGGGAAAAATGCTAACTTCACAGCAGAGAAACCCAGCAGACACCACCTTAACCAAGTGATCAAGGTCATCATCACCAGGAATGAGACATAGCAACATCACGTACCCCCAACATCATGCACTGAGAGAGACACAACGCCACTTCCGTGACGTTTTTGCCAAAAACACATAACCTCAATTTAATCATGAGAAAATACCAGATAAAGCCCAACCGAAGAACATGCTATAAAATAACTGACCAGTACTCATCAAGAATGTCAAAGCCATAAAAAGAAAAGACTGAGGAACTGTCATAGATTAGAGGGGACTGATAAAACATAAAAAGTGAATGTAACTGGGATCCTAAAACAGGAAAAGGGTAAGGTCTTTGGTTTAGCTATTCTAGTATCATGCCGATGTTATTTTCCTGCTTTTGATAAGTATACTGAGTTGTGGAAGTCATGACATTGGGGGAGCTGGGTAAAGGATATACCTAAACTCTACCGTTTTTGCAACTTTTTGGCAAGTCTAATTATTTCAAAATAAAAAAAGGAATCAGTGGTTAAAGCATGATGCTTTGAATCACATATCATTTTGAATAAATCAATAAAACTAACTTCAAATGTTTAAATGTCTAAACAGGGCTATTTACGAGCTATAGGACATAAGCAATCCATGGAAAGGTATTAATGCAGGTATTTTTTCCTATTCTAATTAACCAAGGTTTGCCCAAGTGAAAACTACAAGTGCCACTTGGGTAATTTGGCTCTTTTTGGCCTGGAGGACTGCTTACCTGTAGCACCACACTGCAAAAAATGCTCCAAAGAACACAAGCAAAAATGCCATGTAGGTGAGCCACATGATGACATACATGGCGTCCAAGCCGAAGAGCCTCCAGGGAGGAGGAGGGGGTGGGGGCTGGGGCTTGGGGCCACAGGTGGCGGAGCAGTCCTGACAGCTGCACGGCCCTGTGACCTCGTCTACAGACTCATCACAGCCTTTGGTGGCATTATTCATGGGCTCCATCCCATGGATCGGAAGATCTACAGGAAGGAATTGTGTTGAGTAAAAATCTTGATAACAAAATAATTCTGTATTAAGTTACATTTAAAACCAGTGATAAGCATATAGAGCTATATAACTCAACTGCAGGAATAAAACAAATTGGAAATTTTAGTTTGATCAAGTTATGTTTTCCTGCTTTGTCCTGTAAAATTTTAAGTAACTTCAATAACTTTGTGCATTGGGTTTTGTCACTGATATCTGAGCATATACCGCATACCACGGTAAACCTCCACGCGTGCCTTCGCTCCATTCTGAGGAGCGAGGCTAGTACCATTAATATAGCAGACTCTGGAAAGGGCCTTTGTGATGCTTTTCCACTCCCTCCTCCTTTTTACACAGCTTATCTTTTCAGTGACAACAGCAGTATCTGAAGGCAATTCTTTCTGCTCCTGTTTCCACTCTCAGCCCTCTTAAATCATCCAGAGCAGGATAAATGCTTTAGTTACTTTTTTACTGGAGAGGAACTCTATAAACTAGCTATCTGAATTTATCTTCCTATTGCATATTACGATTCCTTGGCCTTAAAACAATATCGTAAACACATCAAACTTGGCATCTTCGTCCCTACCTGAAAAAATGGGGGTGATGGTGAACGGTGCCTGTCCATTGTCCTTATTGAACATGTACTCAATCCAGTTGGTGGCATTGCAGGCAGCAGCATCCTTCCCACACAGGAGTCCCAGGGCCTTGTCATTACTTAAGGGGGCCTCTACGTCCCGGCAGGCATTGTACATTGCTAGAAGAGGAATCCCAAGGGGAAAAAATGGAGCCGGGATGCTTGCTTTAATCACTAGGCAAGAGCTTACAAAAGGCCTCTCGAATGGAAACACAGAACTCTATAGGCACTGCAACCACATATAGGGAGCAGGCTGGAACACCAGACAGCAAACACTAAGGGCAGGAACGGGGATTTCCTTTTAAATTCGCTTGTAACCCTGCAAATAATATGCCAGGCCTGATTCCAAGTAACTTAAAAGTGAAAAAGACACAGGAAAGGGAAAGGCTTACATTATCCCACGTAATTCTCACAAAAGCTTCTAGAAGTTTGTTTTCTTATATTTTGTTTTTTAATTTAAGAGACACAGTGTCTCACACTGTCACCCAGGCTAGAGTGCAGTGGTGCAATCGTAGTTCACTGCAAAACTCTTGGGCTCAAGTAATCCTGTTGCCTCAGCCTCTGAAGTAGCGAGGTCTGCAGGAATGCACTACCATGCCCAGCTAATTTTTTTTATATTTTGTAGAGAATCTATGTTGTCTGGAACTTCTGGCCTCAAGTGATCCTCCCTACCTGGCATCCCAAAGTGCTGGGATTACAGGCATGAGCCATCTCACCTGGCCTTCCAGAAGTCTTAGCCCCACTGTACAGCAGAGCATTCCAAGGCTCAGGAAGGAGAAGCTAAGAGCCTTGATTCTTCTTAGTGAATGAAACTGATTCCAGAGAACATCTGCAGCAGGATACTATACAACTGGAGAATTATGGAACTTACAGGGAAAACTGCTTTTAGGGCAGAGGTCACATGTGAATAAATGAATCTGTAAGTATCTTCTTAAAGTTTAGGGGACGAAGATCCTAGGAAGTTTCTAGCAAGCAGGGACTAGTAAAGGAAAATTAACAGTACAGGACCCATTACAGCTATGTTCTTATGTGTAAAACATCACTGATATTATTATGTAGTGTGTTGCCATTACGTATACCAAAATAAAATCCAAGAGAATAGTACTAGATTTAATTTACGCCAATCTGATAAGGTGCGAAATGGTAGTTCACTGTTTTAATCTGCATTTCATTGATTGCTCTAGATGCTAATTATTCATATTCATAAATCTTTTCACTAATGGTTTCTGCTTTTCCTCTTCTATCTAGAAATCCTTCCCTTACCTTAAAGTCATAAAGATATTCTATATTGACTTCTAAAAATTTCTAAGATTAGGATTTTCCATCTATACATATTTTAGTATTATATGTGAAAATAAATATTAGATGATCACCATCAATTTCCTCACCCCGTTTATGGACCAGCCCACCCTTTATCGTGATGATCTGTAACAACAAACCTGTTGATGTGTTTCCACATACGCGTGGATCTGTTTCTGTACAGAATGATCTCTCTCCAGTCAGGCTCCTTTTATGTCTCATCTTTTAGAATACTGATTCCTGGGTACCTTACTTTTTGTTCCTCTGTGAACGGGACCGATTTTCTATTAATTTTGTTACTTTTTTATTCGGTCACTACAATTAAATGTTGTATGTTGCTCTTATAAACAACTTTACTGAATTCTTATTCTATTATTTTGTAGATTGTTCTTGGATACTTTTTATGCAGCTATGTCTAATCTACTGTTTATCTTTTAGTTCATCTCCATGACTACTTCTCATTAATAAATTCAGTTGGTTGTGTTTCTAATCCATCACTCTTTTTCTATAGCATTCTGTTCTTTCAGAATCTTCTCATTGTAGTACTTTTCAACAAACACATGGTCTCTTTCAGATTGTTCCATTATTTCTATTTGTTTGGGGGAGCATTTATTCTATTTGTTATATCTGTTTACTTTCCCTCGTGGTGATCTGTTTCTTCAGAGTCATAACCTCCTCTTCTCCTCTGCCAACTAGTTTTATCTCCTCAGTCTTACGGTAATTTATGAAGTGACACAATTCATGACCACTAGAACCAAAGTTCCAATGTACAGATGCAAACTTGCACATACTGAAATTTTCCATGTGAGAACTTAAAGTTAGAAAGTTGTTAAAGCAAATGCTTTATAAACATTGTTTTATTGGCTGTAGTTCAAAGTCCTAGAATATAGCAAAGCAACAACTCATTTCTTGCAGTGGAAGTGAAATTGTTTCTCCACACAGTTGACAGGACAACAAAAACAACTTTCTCTGCCATCCTGATGTCTGTGGTGAAAGAGGAATAATTAAAATTTTACTTACCATTGGCAAAACTCTGTCCAACATAGTACTGTAACTCTTTCACGTTTGTCCTCGTCTGGTTTGTAACAGGATCCACATAATCTTCAGTTGCTGTAACATTCAGAAACTGACTCTGTCGAGGGCTACATGTCAGCTCACAAAACAGGGTCAGTAGGTTATAAAAACAGGATGGACATCTAAAGAAAAAGTAAATTATATTTTGCAGGATCTCACAGATAATAGTCAGCAAAAATATGATTTAAAATAGACAAAGAATATTTAAAATTTTCTACTGTAAAGTGACAAATTACCAAGAACATATTAAACCTAGATAGTCTAAACATAAAACCTCATGTTAAAATAAAGGCACATCTTTTTTTTTTTTTTTT